CATATCTTTCAACCTGTACTAAACTAAAATCCATTGTAAATGGCTATTCCCCTTCTGGGTATCTTCCCAGAAAGAATTTTTTTTTATTTAAAGAGAAAAAAGAAAGGAAATTAAAAAACAAAGCAGTAAAAGGGTACAAGTAATACAGAATTTCAAGAAAAAAAAATAGTAAGAAATCACTAGTTAATAGGTTACATATTGTCATCTTAGAAACAGTTGTCCAAATTATAAAATTAAAGCATATAAAGTGGACATTCATACAGTGAGATTGCAGACAGTTCTGTTCAACGATCCAACAAAAGCTCAGTAATATGTTTTTCTATCCTACACACTTAAATATACATGCAGTTATATCCTTTAGGCCACTTTTTTCCCTCTCTTTTTTACAATAACAATTACACTTTTGGGGTTTTATTACTCCCACAGTTCTTATTACTTTTTTTGTGAAGAGAATAAAACTAAACGTGACTAAACAAAACAGAGTCAGTTAGAACAGAAGGATGGACATAGTACATGATGCAAAAATAGAATACCAGGTGATCAAAAATGGTTACCATTGTGCTTCTTGCTATTTTAAAAAGAGTTGCCTATATCACCAGGTATAATAGAATTGACCAAAACAGTACAGAACAAGACCAATAAAATATACTCTGGAGACCTTACAGGACTTCAAAAGAAGATAATAGTCAAACCATAATGGGCATCATAGTAAATCTTATTTCTTTCAAAGTGGTTGCCTATACCCTCAAACTTGATACTATCAAACAAAATAGAATATAGTAAAATCAGACATAACAAGATGGGGAGAGCAATACTGGGATTCAAATCAGGTTAATAGGGAAAAAAAGTTACTATAATATATCCCACTATTTTTTAATTTAGTTTTCCCTTAATTAAAAAATAAGAAAAAATAGATTAATTTTTTTAAAAAGGGGGAGATTGAGATAAAAGAGGACATTGTAACAGAACAACATAGGTCAGAACCAAACAATTTAAGCATCATTGTGTTTCACCACCAGACAACGTAAAATAATAGTAGTCACCATAGTGCCTCTTTCCTTGAATTATTTGAGTATAACTCCCAGAAAGAATTTTGAAAACATCATACCACAGTGATGTGTGTGCACTCATGCTTAAAGCAACACAATTTGTAATAGCTAAATCTTAGAAGCAACCTAAATGCCCATCAACTGAGGAATGGATAAAAATGATGTGTTTTTTATATAATGGAATACTACTCAGCCATAGAGTAAACCTAAGACTTTTATAGATAAGTAGATGTAACTCGAGACCATACTCACAAGTAAAATAAGTCAGACCCACATGTGTAAACATCATACTGTCTCATTAGCATGAGAAACTGAACAAATAAATAAGATCCAGAATGTACAATAGATTTGTGAATAAGGAAGAAATTTCAAAAGACAAGAAACACTGTGATTGGAGAAAAGGGAAAGGCAGGAAGGGAAAAGAAAAATATATACATACATGATAATTAAGATAGTTATATGGGGCTGGGGATTTAGCTCAGCGGCATAAGCACCTGCCTTGCAAGCAGGCGGTCGTAAGTTTGATCCCCGGTACGGATAAAAATGAAAAAGACAAAAAAAAAAAGATAGTTATATAGCTAATTTCCCCTAGTTCGTTCACAAAGAAGTTTTGTGATAATACTTTTTTAAAGAGAATAAAACCAAACAAAACAGAATAAAGCCAATCAAAACAAAACAATAAAAGTGATACAGGACTTCAAAACAGGATAATAGGAAATCAACATGGCTACTATTATGCCACTTGTTATCTTCAAAATAACTGCCCAGACCTTCAGACATAATAAAATCAAGCATATGCTAATACTTTTTGAACAATATTTCATGCCTATATTTGGTACTATGAACAACTACTATGAATATAACACTACTGTATTGATTAATGTTACTCTCCTACTAGCCTGTTTTGAAACTGTTATTTTTACTTTTTTTCTGTTTAAAACAAACAAACAAAATGGCTGGGAATGTAGCTCAGTGTGAGGACTCTGGGTACAATATCCAGTAAAATGAAAGAAAGAAAGAGAGAGAGAGAGAGAGAGAGAGAGAGAGAGAGAGAGAGAGAGAGGAAGAAAGAAAGAAAGAAAGAAAGAAAGAAAGAAAGAAAGAAAGAAAGAAAGAAAGAAAGGAAGGAAAAAAGGAAGAAAAGAAAGAGAAAGAAATGAAAGCTTAAATATATTCACAAATAACCAAAATTGCAAAATTCCTTGCTAGCAGATCTACCCTATAAGAAATATTAAAGGAGGCCTTCCCAACAAAACATTATCTCAGCCACAGCGCTGGAGACTGGGAATCCAACGATTTTCTGTGGAGGCAACTTGGCAGTAATGAGTCTGTAGCGGCCTCACTAGCCTCTGCCCACTGGAGGCCAACAGCAGCCCGGGATAGCAAGAGCACCTCGAGACGGTGCCCAGGACCCCTGGAGAGAAACTCTCCCCTGGTGGCAATCCCTGGGGCAAAGCAAAGTGATACCAGGTGTGATTCAAACCTGAAGATACAATGAGAAGGACTAGAGATGGTAAATAGATGAGCAAATATTAAAAAGTGTGTCAATATTTTCTTTCTTCCTTGATTTCTTTTGAAAAGTTTAGTGTTTCTGTGATGAATTGTATTTAAAGACTTTCTAGTGAGAAATCATACTCTTGCAAAACCTTTCCTTGGGTGTAACTAGTTCTTATTTGCTTGTTGTGTGCATGTCTGTTTAAACACTGTGCTCCATTGGGTTGCTAGTTTTATTTAAAATTTTACATCAAGTTTCTAAATGACATTGTCTATTTTCCTTTTTTTTTCCCTTTGATATAGTTGTCACTATGTGTCCTGGCTGGCCTTGAACTTGCAGCAATCCTCCTGCCTCAGCCTCTTGAGTGCTGGAATTACAGATGTGTACCACCATGCTTGGCTTATAATGTTCTTTTTTTTTTTTTTTTTTTTACCGGTACTAGGAATCGAACTCATGACCACACACTTGCAAGGCAGGCGCTTATGCCGCTGAGCTAAATCCCCAGCCCCTATAATGTTCTTTTCCTCATCTTGGGCTCAACTAAGCTCATAAAGTGAATTCAGAATTTTTCCTTTTCCCCAGCCTCTGAAATAACATAGGAATAATCTGTTTCTTAAATATATTTTAAAAATAAATTTTAAATGCATAACTCAATTTCTTTAGTAATTTTAATTCTGGACTTCATGAGCATACTTTAATATGATATAATTAGACATACATAAGGTAGTAATGATGTAGTCAGGTGTGGTAGTGTGTGCCTGTAATCCCAGCACTTGGAAGGCTGAGGCTCAAGGATCATTGTGAATTTGTGATCAGCCTGGGCCACAAAGTGAGTTCAAAGCCAGCACAAATTACATAGTGAGACCCTGTCTCAAAAATACCAAATAATAGTAATGTAATTTATGTGCTATTTGTATTTACATATATTTGTTTTATGGCAATTATGTAATCCAAATTTCCATTTCAAAAACATTTACTAAATGCTGTGAGAGTAGCTCAGTAGTGGAACACTTGCCTACCACTCACAAGGCTCTGAATTTGATCCCCAACAATGGACCAAAGAAATTTAATATAAAAATAAATATTTTACAAAGATACTCACTTGTAGCTGTCCCCCTTTTCATTCCTAATATTCATCTTCTCTATTTTATAAATCATAACAAAACTGCGAGAAGTGGCACACATCTGTAGTCCCAGCACTCAGGAGGCAGATGTAAGAGAATCAGCAGGATTTTGAGGCCAGCCTGGGCTACATAACAAGTGCAAGGCCAGCCTGCCCTACACAACGAGACCCTGTCTCAAAAACAAACAGCAACAAAAAAGTGTGTGCTAGGCATCGCATCGTGGTCATGTTGATTTCTCCTTCCAGGCAATCAGTGTTTGCTTTACTTTGGAGGCTCTGCTTGATGTGCATATATACTTTAGAAAATTCATAAATTAATTGTTTTATCATCATGTAACTCTCTCTTTATTCCTGATTTTTTTTTATTTTTTGAGACAAGATCTCACTGTATAGTTCCTATTCTTGATATTATTCCTTGTTTTGAAATTCAATTTACTGATGAACATTTATATACATATTTTTCCATTTTCAAAAAACATTTAGACCAAGAATTTAGCTCAGCAGCATTAGCACCTGCCTGTCAAGAGTAAGGTTGTGAGGGGGCTGGGGATTTAGCTCAGCAGCATAAGCGCCTGCCTTGTAAGCAGGCAGTCATGAGTTCGATCCCTGGTACCGAAAAAGACAAAAAAAAAAAAAAAAAAAAAAAAAAGAGGTTGTGAGTTCAATTCCCAATACAAAGAAAATTTTAATCTATTTGTATTCTTTTATTTGATAGGGGTTTCTTGTAGAAAACACAAAATTAGATAGTAGGGTCTTGTCTTTTTTCAATCCCATCTAACAATTTCAGCCTTTTAATTTGATTAACCAGATCATTTCTATTTAGCTCAATTATTAGTACTGTAGGGTTTAATTATATCAACTTCACTTGCCAAAAATGAAAAAGGAACACTGTAACATTCTTCCTGAAATAAGAAATGATTCAGCAACTATGAAACAAGTGGAGAATAACAGTTCTTTTTTCAGAAAAAAAATCAAATAGTGCTTTTGCAAATTACAACCATGAGAGTAGAACATTTTAAATGTTTAAAAAGGAAACTTGGAAGATACTGCTGAAAATATCTTTAAAAAACAAGAAAAAGGCAAAGGAATGGAAAATGGGAAAGACATGACAAGACAATTAAATAGTGAAGCCCTAAAATTGATGTTCAATTAGTTAGTGGCTCACTAGAAATAACAGTTTACTAGTTCACCAATGAGAACCCATTTCCAACAAGCTAACTAACTCATAAGTCACTGTTTTACTGATAGAAATTTATTTTGATATCAGTACACTAATTATCAAGATCTCATTATTGATTGTATTGAAGTTAGTGGTATCTTTAATCTGACACAGGAAGACACACAGACGTGGGAATGATGATCGTGAAGGAGAAACAAACTCGCCGGGCTCCAGCGACAGGAGGCATGGGACACCTCTCAGAAGCAAAAACAGAACTGAGAGCCAAACACAATGGAATAAGTTGTACCAGAATGGAGGAGCTGGCTGCCATTGGTGGGCTGTGTAATGTCTGTGGCAGTGTGCTCTGGGTGGCACTGTCAGCAAGGGCAGGTCGGATTTTAACTCTGGGGCTGCTCAGCCACTTTACCATAGGACTGGCCCAGCTGGTTAATCATGCAGGTGACAGCACAAAACACCACACTCTGGGGCAGGCAGCCACAGCCCTTCAGCTAAGGATGCCACATCTATTCCTTGTTTACTGTGTTCTTGATGCTCCGACTTTTGTGACAGCTAGCTAATCCCTGGTGACAACTAATGTCTCTTCACATGCCCAAGACTCTTCATGGTGTGCAGTGCCTCCTGTTACTGAGGACCTGTGAATATAGGCTTGTTTCATAATCTTTGTTTGCATGTCCATGTATCTTACTGTGCCCAATGAAAACAAACTACCGGTACAAATTTAGTACAATCAATTAACAGCTGGAAACCTAAGTAACAGCGTGGGTAGCAAAATAGATTTTTATTGGTAAAATTAAAATTTCACTAAGTGAATAAAAATTATCAAGGTGTATGACTGGCTAAAATTACTTAGAGGCCGGGGATATAGCTCAGCAGCACAGCACCTCCCTGGCAAGCATGAGGTCGAGAGTTTGATTCCAGCATCAATAATAAATAAAGTTACTTAAGAGTCTCTTCCTATACAACGTGGCTTGGCAAGGCTTGTCCTCTACACCCTTAGGAATAGCCCCTGGATCTGTCTCTAATAACCCCTGAGTCTAGCCACTGACTTTAAAGCCTACCTGATGGCTTTATTCTGATAAGGGAACCCAGAATCCCTCCTCTGGAAAGCTCAAGTGAATCATTCATACAAGATGTAATTGGAGCAATTTAAAGACGGACCCTGGGCCTTCTCCAAACTTACACATTGAATCAAAGGCTTTTGGGCCTGTGGCTAGTATGTGTTTGCTTACCAAATACAAGGGATAATCAGACTGTTCAACGAATATTTAACTTTGAAAGATTTTATTACGATAAAGACACACAGCCATTAAATACCTCAAAATACTCCAACCCTGACCACACTAACCCATCTTCCTTGCCACTTGCTGAAACAGTTCTGGAAGTAAGTCCTCTTTTCTGCCTTTACCAGGCACAATATGCTGAGTGCTGCTACCAAATATCATCAGTGGAAAGGTAGTTTCATAAAACAGTATTATGGTGCATCCTCAGCCTCTTTATTCACTAGGTCTAGCACCACGTGACTTCTGGCTCTGCCCCAAAGTTAAAATGACCATGAGAGAGCAGTGCTTCAAATCAGTGCAGAGCATCAAGGCAGCCATAACAAAGCAACTAAAGATATTCCAGAAAAAGTATTTCCAGAACTGCTTCAGCAAAAGCCATGGACAGTGGGATGAAAGTGTTTAGAGGGAAGGAGAGTGTTTTAGGGGGATTCATGGCAATGTGCCTTTTAGTATGATAAATTGTTTAAAATGTAACCATCGTATTTTTTTTCAATCACATCTTGGGTCTCCATACCTCAGACAGCCTGTGTTCAGTCTGCATTCATCTTGACCTTGTGGCAGAACTGTGAAGGAAGCCAGTCAGTATTTCTTCCTGGCCTCTTTTATGGCTACAGCTATCGGGCTATGATCAAATCAGGTTGGGTCATCTCATGAAGAAAGGACATAGTGGTAAGTAAAATAAATCAGTAATACAAGCTTAAACATCACTTATATGAAATATCTCTTATATGAAAAACCCAATGTGAATAAAGAGTTCAATAAAAGAAACATAATAGGAGGTAGAAAGATGGATCTCTCTCAAATGGGAAGGGAATTAAGAGATGGAGAGAGAGCCCTGAGCAAAGGTGGCAGATAGATAACAACTGGCTCCAGAGGCTCCCTGAGATAGTCAACTTAGAATTCAACGTAATACAGAGTGGGAAGCCCCAAACAGAAAGAGATGAATTCTCTTATCCCAAGAAGAAATTAGGGTGACTTGCCAACCATCCAAGGTCCCACCGTGACTTGACGAGGTCCCGCCATGACTTGCTGAGCCATCCGAGGTCCCGCGATTCGACTCACTGGAGGCGCAGTTACACTGAGTTCAGGGATCAGTGAGCTGAACAGAGAGCTGAGTTGGCAGAGTGCCTACATCAACCTGTGAGTGACAGGAGTGGAGCCATTCCATAAATAGGGGGGGCTCCGGTGACTGGGCAGGACTGGCAAGTACAAGGGGCAGCAGTGACTTCAGTCAGTTGTTCCCTTCCCAAACGGGATTGGTGGAGTGAGCCTAGGCCTGGATCACGTGACCTGGCTGAGACCCAATAGGTTATCTGAAATAAAGTCCCTACAGCAGTGGCGCACACTAACCACACTAATGCAGTGAAGCCTCAGAAGTTTGACTGATCCGGAAGGGAGGTGGCGCAAGGTGGTGCAGTGTAGGCCACAGCAGCTTGACTGATCCAGAGGAGAGAGGCCAGCATACTCTGTCCCTGTCTGCAACTCACTAGCACATGGCAGTGGGAAGGGTCATCTAGCCAGCACATTTCAGAAGTATTGTAACCAACAAAGAAAGAAACTGGGGCCTCCTGGAAGAAGCAAAAAAGATGGGAAGAGGAAGCAACAACAAAAAGTCCCCAGGTTCCAGCCCTGAAAACATGGACCCAGGACAGGTAAATACAAAGGGGAATGAGAACAGCAAACATGCAATATCAGACACAGTGCCAGTGGACATAAAGATATATATGGGACCTCTTAGACGAGTTCAAAAGTGAAATATTTAGCCAAATAAAGCAAGATATAAGAAGATTAATAAAAGAAATACTAAGCACCCCTCAAGCAGACACAGCCAGAAGAAGGGAGGAACTCAAAGGAGAAAACCATTTGGTGAAGAATATTTTAAAAAAATATAGAATACATGAAGCAGATTCAAAGAGATCACCAGGAAATTAAAAACTCTATGAAAAGATGGCAAATCAGCTTGAAAGAAACTAAGGATAGATTATCCAAACTGGAGGACAATTTTGCAATGTGGGAGTATGGAAGGGAAAACTTTTTTAAAATAACAAGGAAACAAGCAGTAACAATACAAAGGCTAGAAGACGACAAAAGGATCTATAACTTGAGAATAAAGAATGTGAATGAAGAAGCTGGGGTACAAACAATGGAACTACAAAGGCTATTCACAGAAATAATTAAGGAAACCTTCCCAAACATAGGAAAAGGAAATGATATTCTGATATATGAGGCATACAGAACTCCAGCCACCTACAACCAAAACAGAGCTACACCCAGGCATATAATAATCAAGATCCCTAGCCGGGCATGGTGGCTTAAGCCTGTAATCCCAGCACTCGGGAGGCTGAGGTGGGAGGATCGTTGTGAGTTCAAGACCAGCCTGAACTGCATAGCGAGACTCCATCTCAAAAAAGACAAATAATAATAATCAAGATCCCACAACTTTGATATAAGAACAGAATATTAAAAGCTGTTAGAGACAAGAAACATAACCTATAGAGGAAGGCCCATCAAAATAATGGCAGACTTCTCGACATAAACCATCAAGTCCAGAAGAGCCTGGAGCGAAATATTCCAAGCCCTGAAATAAAATAACATCCATCCCAAATTGATATACCCTGCTAAACTGTCTCTAGAAATTAATGGAGAAGCGAGACGCTTCCAAGACAAAGAGGAACTTGGGAAATCCGCAACCACCAATCCAACTCTACAGAGAATACTACAGGGCATTCTAAGTGAGAGAAAAGTACTAGGGTTCCAGCAACAGTGGCAGAGAGGCTTCAATTAATGGAGCAGAAAACAGAATAAAGAAGATAAGCAGACAACTGATGGCAAAAAAGAGCATAACAGAAATGAGGCAGAGAAGATTTTATTCAAAACTGATATGATTGATAGTATCAAGTCTGAGAGTATAGGCAACTACACTGAAGATGACAAGACTCTACGATACACATTCTGGTTTGATAACTGCCAGTTTTTGAAGTTCGATACTATATACAAAGTTGTGTTTTTATTAATACTGTTATGTACTGATATATTCAATTATTCTATGTCTGATGATATAGCCAGTTCTATTGGAGATAATAAGAGACAACACAGGAACCATGTTAGAACTCTTTGTCTTATATGTTTATTTCATTTCATGCGTTTATAGGAATGTTTTGTTTTGCCTTGCTTTTTTTTGTTTCTCCCTCTAATATAGAAAGGATAGAAATACTTGTTAAGACTCATGCATGTGTAGAATCTATAAACAGTTTATAAGAACTGATCTTATGACACATGATGAAATGAACAGATACTTTGAAGAAAAAGAGACACTATGGGGGTTGGGGGCTTAGCTCAGCGGCATAAGCACCTTCCTTGCAAGCAGGCAGTCGTGAGTTCAATCCCCGGTACTGATAAAAAAGAAAAAGACAAAAAAAAAGAAAAAGAGACACTAAAATACCCAGGGCTGATCCTGGAGTGTCATAATGTGAAACCCAGCAACAGTATTATTCTTTGTTCAGAGTGATATTAGCCTACTGGGGTTTATTCAGTCTCAACATAATTGAAGATATGGATAACAGCATGTATGTTTAAGTGTATAGAATTGATAACCATATTTCTAAGTTTTTGTTGGATAGTTGAACAGAACTGGCTGCAATCTCACTGTTTGAATTCCCACTTTCTATACTCCACTTTAGTATTTTGAATAACTATTTGTAAGAAGACAATCTGTAATTATCAACCAGTGATTTCTTACTCTTTATTTTTTTCTCTGAATTTCTGTATTATTTCTACCTATCTTCCATTTTGTTTAGTCTTTCTTTAAATAAAATTAAAAAAGAGATGGAGAGAAAAGAAAGAGAGGAAGGGAAGGAAGTAAAAAGGAATTAAGATGTGTTATGCACCTGGACCAACTCCACACAAGCAATGTCATCATTATGTACCACAACAATGTACTAATAAGAAAAAACATATATATGAAGCTCCAGCTAGCTCCAACAGGCTGATAGAGAACTTTTCTTCCCTGCTTCTCCTGACTAAATGCAATTATGGTAAATGATATGATTGGATTATTTCACATGTTCATATGTCAAAATAGTGCAATGAATGGCAAATAATGTGCAATTCTGTGTTCATCAAAAACAAAATAAATGCATACATACAATGATAGACCCCAGAAACAATGCCAGAGACAACCAAAGCAGGAGCCTAAAAAGAAAGGAGAGGAAGAAAAGTGATGACACCCAGGGCCAAGGGCTGAGGGGACAGCACAGCAGCAGGGCATCTTGGGTTTGCCCACCTGGTATAAGCAGGTGACCCACATCATGTGCCCCAAGCCTGATACCAGCACAGAGGAAGCTCAAGTACATTCATTACCCTGCACTGCACTGAGGTCTCCAGGACATCTAGTACAGGCAAATGCTCCTGGTGTAAAAAAAAAAAAAAAGACAAGAGAACTCGGTCTCCTCCATGTCTATGAGTGCCCTTTGCCACGAGGAGATACTGAGGACCTGGGTTATATCAGCAAAGAGGGCCCCAGCACAACAAGGACATGGCCTGGGAGGCC